AGGGGGGGGGGTGTTGATTCAGCGCTCCATATTTTCTCACGAATTTGGAAGAAGAAATAAAATTAGTGCTCCTTACCATTTTTTCGCTTTTTAGTACGGAGCAAATTTGGAGAGGACCTCGCAAGAACCTTCGTAGCATTTTCAATGTGTGTTTGATTGATTATACAACTCAAAATAACCAATAATTATATTATTCTTTATGAGACTTCGCACAAACATTCATTGACTTATTTCTCTCAATTTCCGGCTTTTATAAAGACCAACTAAATATCAAGGTGAACTCCCCATTTAGTATCATATTTTCACTTTTTAAACTTCTTGAGGACCGACATAGTCGATATGACAAAGACATTTACCTTTTCATGTTGAAGTGTTATTTTCATCCTGTTCTCAGTAGTAATTTGCTTAACCAGAGAGTCCAATTCGCTATCCGTAAAACAACTGATGATACTATATGAAATATATGTTCATGTAAAATATATATTTCAACATCTTGAATCACTGCATGTTTGAAGGAATTTAATAATATGATGTTCTGTAATAAAACATGTCAACATATCTTTCCAACCAGGCTATATATCAGCTAATGAGGTTTTGAAAATTAATTTTCGTGTAGAAATGTTGGCAAGTCTATACTATTAAAACAAATATAGTATTACAGGTGAAATAAAAATCCCATGTATTACTAATTTTCTAGATTGCTATGCAATAATAAACACCTCATTACGTAGCTCATACATTTATTTGTGTTAAATCCCCTTTTACTTTACCATAACTGACCCTTGGAATAAGTATGGTACAACCAAATTTAATGATTGAAACACTCTCGGCATAATTATGACGGCTGTCAGAATTTGAAACTATTTAATTCATGTTCTGTATTTTATAAACATAACGCTATATATAGGCCTTTCTATTTTGTAATGTACTCCTTTGATTATTTATCTATTCTTTTATTCATTATTAGTAGCGGTATTAACGTTATTATTATTGTGATTATTATTATCAACACTGTGATTATTATTAATATTATTGTTATAATTTTTATTATTGTTACGGCCCTCCATCCTAGAACGGGTCCTGGATGCTGGAGGGCTGGCCTGTCCCTTGCCTCTATCACCGTCATCTGACGAAGAATTTGCCATCCTGAATAATCCGAGCGGTTTCTATTTGGCTTGTAGTTTAGAGGCCCGGATGTGGCTCCGTTTACCCAAAGTATATGAGTGTGGAGATGAGAGGTGTTTTGGATAGCTGGACGTGTATTCTCTATGAGAGGATTATATTACATCAGTCTATGGAGACTCAACTAATTACACGTTATGAAACGATGGATTGTTTAACTGTATACTTTATTAATACAAACATAAGTCAACTTCTCCAACACGTTATCATAGTTAACACCGACACCAATTAACTGGATTAATCTCAACAAGTAGTAAAGGCAGGTATTGCCTTTTGTAGGAACTCTATTTCTCGCTTCCAGTCCTTTTCCTTACTTTAGCTCAGCTGGAGCAAAGCGGAGAGTTCGCTATCTGACCAAGACGAGAGCCAGCGTCGAAGTGACGAAAATCCCGCTGGTTACTGCTATTTATAGCATCTGAGACGCTCTGAGAGCTGCTTTACGCATGGTGCGTCCGTAATCGCGCTCTGAGCCCTTACGCCCCAAAAGCTTACTGCCCTCTACGTTTTCTGCAAGATAACTACCTGTAACGTGGTCCGTTACATTATCATTGCTGTCATTTGAAATAATGACAATTTCTGCAAACATGGCCCTGATAAACTTACCTTATTGATTTCAAATGCAGGTGGTTCCTTAGATTGTGTAGTATTGCTTCACTGCGTATGTTGCCCATTACCAGCCCTCGGAAGGTCAGACAGGCGAGTTGCGGGAATGAACTGGAGAAAAGTTGCCCGAGTGAAGTAGGTTCTCCAATGAGAGGATCTTGATATTGGCCATTCCTACCATGCTCAATAGAAAACACTGCTAGACTGGAATGTGCCAACCGTTCAACATCTCCCGGTGAGACAGTATGACAAGTGGTAAAATTCAATTGTTTCAAGCTCGGGAATAGATCCTCAACGGTGACAGTAATGCCATTGTCATTTAACCTCTGTAGACCATTTAGGAATTGATGATCTACAACCAGCTCTTTGATCGAGGATTTATCTCCCTGTAAGCGAAATGACAACAAAGTAGAGTATTATCAATCAGTCTATTTTCAAATAATATCATACTCTCGTTATGATTTGTATATTCTCCACATTAAAGAAAAATAATAAATATTGGTACAGGTGTACAGCAGTGGTGTAATGAGCAAAAACTTTTTTTTTTTTGGGGGGGGCAGACTAAAAAATCCTCATCACCCCCACTCTTATATGCAGGCCCCGCTAAACGTTTTTTCAAATTGGGTGGGGGAGGCTTAAGTATTTACGATCAGGTAGAGCGTAGCGTAAATTGGCGTGGGATCAAGGGGGCGGAACCCCCAGAAGCCCAAGGATTTCAGGCATTAAATTGCCATCTTTCTTTCTATTTCTCTTTGATATATTTTTTCACAAAAGTGGGGGTGAGGGAGGGGGGAGCTAGCGGGCCCTGGCATGTAGACCTCTAAATAACCATATTTCTTGCCTGAATGTAAATTTAGGAATTGGTCATTTTCCAACAAACGCATACAAAAGTATAATTCACTAAAAAAGTGAGGAAAACAAGGCCCGATCGCCCCCTGGATCTGCTCCTGGTTATGAGTCTTGGTACAGTTCAGGTACTTTGTTATATTGGGTAGGTTCTGCTTTACAAAAAGAGAAAAGTCCAAATATGCTGAGTTGCTCTCAATTTATTTTGTGTTCAAGACATTTTCAAGACTTTAAAAAGCTTTATTCCAATGGTACAGACCAAAAATGAAAGTTATATTCCGTTATCTAACCAGTGCTCACTTTCTACCCAATAATGTCTCCCTTTATCGTGCTATCAGTGATGCAATGTTTCATTATCATGCCATAATAAGCTGTAAAGACCACAATGGATGAAGTGTGCATATTTTCTTGAATATCTTGTAAGAAGAGGAAAACGTGCCGGTTTAGGGTATATGCATGTAATCATTAAGGAGGGGGAATTGTTGAAAATCCGCGCTATTTGGCCCCTTATCCCCCCCCCCCCCCCAAAGGAAATGGTTCCGGCACAACTCGTCCCAGGTTAATGTTTTTAAACATAAAATGGAAGTATGATTTGCACTGTAACTTTTCTGGAGTTTGTCTGATAGAGACGGATTGTAGTCAGTAGTATTCTATTTTGTGTATGTATGTACTTGTGTATGCATTAACTTGAAGAAGTCATCATCCAATGTTGTACGCTCAAACACTAATCTTGATAATGAGTTCGATGCGAATAGGACGTCCGCTAGGTCATGTGATACAGTCGGGCCCCATGATCTGTCTCTGAACACCAAAGTCTCCTGAAATAGACATATTAAACACATTATAAATACTATACAATTCTTATTGCTTAAATGATCCTGACTAGCTCGTTTTACATGCTTGGGAATATACATTTAATCTACAATATGAATATCATTCTGTTTTCGTTTCCTTTGACATACATTTATTTGAAAGAAACTATTACAACATTGGATAAGTTTCATTGTTGTAATGGAGGTTTTTACACCGTTTACACACTGTTTTAGATAAACGTACTTTTATAGGTAATAATCGTACATTCAATATACAAATATAGATTGCTTTGAGGGATATGGTTGCCCAAAGTGATCTCAAAACCGTTTGGTGCCCGAAGCGAGGTCGAGAGACATAGTGCAGTCTGAAGATCACAGAGGAGCTATGTATAGTTTTGTAGGAATAAATGTTCTGGAGAAACTAAATGTGTAGAATGTGCAGCTGTAAATTGTTATTGTTATTGAAGCTGGCTAAACGGAAAGTACTAACAAAAGGAATGTTTAAAATGCTGGCTATTTACAATGTTGATAAACATTTGAGACCTTTGTAAAGTTCAAGTCACTACAGTTTTAAGCGTGACCCGGAAAATAAGCAGTAGTTGTTTTACACACCGCATCCCGCCTGTCATTTCTCAAAAACATATATTTTAGCAAAATTACCTGTCATTTTTTTTTTTTTTAAGGAAGATTTACATGTCTAAATAAACTGCACATTTTCTATTGTGCTAATTCACTGTTGACTCCACGCGCACCATTGCCTTTTTCAACTATGTAGGGTAAATAATCTTTCGCAATACATGTACATATTACTGCTTAGCAGTCAGTAGCGATATTTTTGTGCCTGTCGTTTTAACCAATCAACGGCCTAGGATCCTCATATGCAGTATATCAATGATACTCTACAGGCCCGTAACTAAAGAGGGTGCATGCGCATCTCCCCCGGCTGCTAGCGATAAAAGGTCCCCTCTAAAAATAAAAACATAAAAAACACTGATTACGAATTGATGGGCCAAATCAGGTCACCTAAAAAATACCCCTTCTTGACCTTCCCCCGCTAGTGAGCTTTGCGCCCTCGTCCACCTCATATAATGTCTGCACCCCCCCCCCTTCACACTGAAATCCTAGTTTAATATAGGCCTGCTATAACAAACCATTCCATGCTGTTCCATGATGAATAGATAACCAGACACTGTGTGAGCAGGCATGTCTTTATCGATGGTCAACATTTTCTTGTCTGCAAATATCTGTAGTCCTACTGCTTTCGCCGTGTCAATGTTATACGCTTCAAAAGTGACATCTACTAAAAAGTCATTGTTTCTTTTTCCTTTTTGGAAATTTAGGAAGTAAGTCTGTTGTATTTTCTCGACAACATCAAGTCCCACCTCCCTTCCTAGGGCAGCAGTGAAATAGAAGAGGTAACGGAATTCTTGTGCATGGGTGTTGCTCATCAGTACCTCATCCATCGACGTACTGTACTCTTCACGATTTGTGTCATATAGAAAGGCAAGATAAACAGACGCAATATATTCTTGAAATAATTTGTGAGGAAAGAAGACACTAGTGGTTATAGGCTGTGAAGCAGTCAAAGTTCTCTTCCATCTGGATACATTTCGATTTCCTAGACTTAAAACTCCGATTTTGCAACATGTCTCCATGGCTTCCTTACACGAGCTGAAGTCCTTCTCATTAAAAACCAATTTCTTTTCCAGGAGTCCTGAGAAGGCAACCGATCCTATTCTTTGCAAACAAAGCTTGATATTTTCCATTTTCTTGTCCAGATGGGCTTCATGTAACACTTTGGTGACCTTTGACACATAATGGTCTCCAAGAAACATGATCATTTGTTCAAATAATTGAGAAAATGTCTTCAGTTTGCGTATTTTTTCTCGTTTCTCACTGTCACATTTTTCCCATAAGATGCAAAGCATTGCTACGTAAATTGGGAAAGGAGCCATGTTCTTTTGTATTACTTCATTCACTTCAAAAAACCGAATCAGTTCTGACCCCGCCTTTTCATCCTTCATGAAATACTTGCTGATGTATGTAGAGACATTTTCAGCACCAAATCCTTCTACTGTAATGAAATCATAAGACCTACTCAATCCTTCATTGGATTTGATCTGATCCGCCCTCCACGGTCTTGTTGTTACCAGAACTATGCATTGCTTGAATTTCTCTAATCGTAGAATCTGAGAAATATCTGAGCTTTCTTTGGCAGAGAGGTCCCCATCATACTCATCTAGTCCATCAAGTACAATCAGAACCTTTGTAGGTTGAGACAATATATAATTATCGATCTGTTTAGGGCTGACACTATTATTGTCAGAGAGATAGTCTTTCATAATATCACCAATGGTCTGACCCTTAACAACCTTGCGCAGGGGTATAACAAGAACCCAACTGAAGCGCTGAAACTCTGGAGATCCATTGACCCAATCCCATGCGATCTTAGAACAGAAGGTCGTTTTACCAACACCACCTTCACCTTCAATCAGAAGACGTTTAGGAAGTACTCCATTGACCGTTTTAGTAAGGAGAGCAGAATAGTCTAATTTGGATTTAGTCATACCTCTCCTTTGCAGTACTAAATTGGTGTAGATTTGTTCAAATTCCCTGATAGATTGGAAATTAAACGGTTCCGTTTTGATTTTGCACATGTGTTCGCAATAGAAATTCTTCAAGTCTTCGCCACATTGGATAACCTCATCTTCTGACATGTCTACGACTGGCTGGGGTGTATCCTGTGCCCCTATATGAAATAAAGAGAAATGATATCAATGCACCAAATAGTGAAAACATGTAACTTAATAAATAAATACCTCTGGGAAGTAATAGGGACGATCTTCATGGAAGTTAACTTCCATGACAAAAATGAGAATGAAAAAAATTCAGGACCCAACGTTTACTCCAGGCTTCATTTTGTCAAAGATATCAGGTGAGGGTTAACATTGTCATTGCAGTTAGCCGAGGTTAGATCAGAATTTGAGTTGGGACTGTTTGTTCCGAGGACGAAGTAAAGAATTGGTATACACTTGAAAATCTTACCGCATAGCAAAAGTAGCAATACTAGCAGTCTCTACTAGATAAATTGTTTTTCGCAGGGTTAATCTCCCACAACGTCCTCTGCCCTAGTTCAGGACAATATATATATATATATATATATATATATATATATATATATACAGTGCGTCTCAGAAAAAACGAAACCGAGAAGTATCGATGTTCTATCATAACTTAATCACAACTATAATTAATGAATGATACATATTTTGAAAGCTTAGAGTCTCCTCTTTCATGTAATGCTACTCAGATGATGCATATTTCACGCATGAGTGATTAAAAGCAATTTGAAGGAAGGAAACCAAAAAGACATTTGGCGGGCGGTATCTGAATTTCGAAGAAAAATTCACATTTCTAGAAAGTTGAGTTTCTGCCCTTTCATATGACACCTCAATCAGGAAAAATGAGCGAGGAATGACAAAGTTCTGTTTGTTTAAAGTAGTGCTTGCATTTCCATAATTTTATTAAACGAATTGGTTTTCACTGGCTGCCTGCTGTATCAATGAACGAAATTAACAAAAGACTTAACTCCGTTTCGTTGACAATCAGCCGTAGACGAGAGTCTTCATGCATGGCTGATTGTCAACAAAACGGAGTTAAGTCTTTTGTCAAATCTGCTTTTTGCTACGGCAGGCACCCAGTGAAAACGAATTTGTTTGTTAAAATTATGAAAATGTAAGGGCTACTTTAAACAAACAGAACTTTGTTATTCCTCACTCATTTTTCTTGATTGAGGTATCATATGAAAGAGCAAAAAATGAACTTTCTAGAAATATGAAATTTTCTTTGAAATTCAGATACCGCCCGCCAAATGTCTTTTTGGTTTCCTTCCTTCAAATTGCTTTCAATCACTTATGCATGAAATATGCATCACGTGAGTAGCATCAACTGAAAGAGAAGACTCTAAGCTTTCCAAATATGTATCATTCATTAATTATGGTTGTGATTAAGTTATGATAAAACATCGATACTTCTCGGTTTCGTTTTTTCTGGGACGCACTGTATATATATATTATGATTACAACTATTGAATGACTCTAAACAGTATGCCCACGCACACATGCATAAACTCAACATATTATGACTAGAGAGAATTTAACTTTGTGAATCATGATCTCTCTTAACTGTACTTATCAAGCTGTTCACACCTTTACCCCAAGTATTTCAACCAATTTTTTAAACAGGTTTTTGAACAGTCTCGATTTCAGAAACCAATTTTTTAACGTTAGATATGTTAATTACCAATGTAGGGTTTACACATTATGCTTTGATGTTTTTTGGAAATGTTGGCCTCACTCCTAGCTCTTTGATATTCGACTTGACGTCAAGTATAATTGCTATCATTAGATTTCGTAGTTCCGTGCTGCTTTCAAAATATAAGTGCATTTTACACTGTAATTATTTGCGGGACTTGATCATGTATACTCACACTGAGTTGGGATGTCTTGTGTCGAGTATCCACCTATAAGGTAAAATGAGACAGCAGTATCTAAATATTGAATGCTCTTTGTTTTAGCTGTTGCCTCACTGTACATTTCGGACATGGTTTTATTTTGATGAAATGCATGCATGCATCCAAATGTACATGGTGTCTTCGTTAGATGCCATAGTGAAGCTACATCTGATTCCATGTCCGAAATGTAGAGTGAGGCAACAGATCAAACAGTTAACAAAACACGGGTGAAGTAAGGGAAATAAGTGAAGAGGAGACGACGAGACAAGCACTAAAAATGTGCGCATTGTTATGGGACATCTTCTGCTTATACTAATTTGGTCCCTTGCGTGATGTCACAAATCCCCCCAGTGTTCGGAGAGCTCCTCAAGTGCGAAAGTGAGGCTGTATTTTACTTTTTTTAAATTGATAATAATCGTAACTTTGAATGTTCCCAAACGGAAAATGTTGATAATATTGTTCGATTAAACCTTCCCTAATGCAATGATACAAATTTAATCAATGAATGGGACTTTAAGAAGGGAATGACGGTCATTACACTCCCCCCCCCCCCCATGTCCACATGCAAATTAGGCCTCAGAACAAGTGATATTCTTGTTGAAATACATGGATGACTATTGACTTGAAGCGTCATCCCCCCCCCCCCTCCCCACCCCGCCCCGCGTCACGTTCAGTAGGTCTACACATAATAAATTATACCAAGGACAGACAGTCGCGTGAAAATACGGAAATAAACTGCACAGCGCACTCACCTTCTACTAGTTTTGTTCCCAATACATCTAAATGAACACTCCTGAGTTTTTCAGCTAGAAGTCTCTTGTAATTACTGCCATCGCTCTGCTTTACGCCCCAGTTGCAGATGACGTCAAACAGTGAACCGGAAACATTTAAGAGATTTTCCGATAAAATCGCTTTACTTCGTGCATACCCGACACCTAGAGCATTGCACAAGCGGGTGTATTGTTTCGAAGGAACTTCTTCTACCAATGACAGCAACTCTCCTTCTAACTCCAAGCTCCACTCAGCCCTAAGAGATGAGAATGAAAGGATAGGTCAAACTTCCTTCTGAGCAAAATTAGAGCACATTTTATTTTTATTTTTTTGGTCCCGAAAATTTGAAAAATTGGCCGAACGTTCAGTTGGGGGGAGGGGGTGAGGTCACCTTTTTGGGGTCACCATTTAGCACATTTAAAAAAAATTGTTGTTATTATTTTTTTAGGGGGGGGGGTTCCAAAGCACACACATTAAAAATATTGAGGGGGTTCGACCCCCCCCCCCTGCGTACGCGCTTGACATCACACTTGGGTACTTTATAAAGAAGTTTATATTAAATAAATCAATTGCCTCTGAACGGAGTGACAGTTTGTTTTTAATTATTGTCTTATAATGTATATATATAAATTGTTTTGGTGCGGGGAAAAACCAAAGTTTATGCCTCATTTTCACTTTAATGAAACAGATATAATTTGTGTTAGTTTAAATATTCGATGTCTTTGGCTTTTGGTATCGTTGTGTATCTAGAATTATCGAACAACAAAACAAAAAATTTAAAGAAGAAACAAATGATATGAATTACATCATATAAACTTTGAATTATCATTTCAAATAGGTAGAGGTATCACCTTACATTCACATTTAGCCTCCCTTAATTTACTCGCTAAAAATCAGTTACAGGTCTCATGTTCCAAAACATGCTACATCCATAAAACCGAGTTCAAAGAAAAACGTTTTTCAAATAATCCTATTTCGTATTATCAATTATAAAATAAAACTCGAACCCGTTGGGGATGACACAATCACTCCCTAAATAAGCCCGGGTGCCATTGTTTAAAGAGAAGGTTCATTTATTTTTAATTTGACTAAATTTGGTATCATTGCAATCGCAAACTTACACTGAGTAAGAATGTGACATTTGTTTATCCTGTAAATTCGAGCGCAAATCATAAAAATTGATTAAGATTAACGAAAAATCAACCCACTCAAACCCCGGAAATGATAGTAATATAGCTGAAGTTTCAGTGACGTCAATGAATCAACGATGGGCCGCTCAGCTGAATTGATTGACAACGGTGCGCGATGCATGCAGTGTACGTGTGTGTGCAAATCACTTGTGTTGCATGGAGTAACGCGTACCCATTCATATATAGCCGACGTAGTTTACCTTCATCAAAATCCCCTGGAAATATCGATAATGACAAAAACAAACTTGATTCGAGTTGAAAGTACCCCTGACAGCGACAATGACAACGGATATTTGGAGATCTTGACCTAGAAGTAGAACTAGAAGATTTTGCCGATGTACGCTTATATCCCGCCCCCCAGCCCCCAATCAGTGTTATTTAGGGTACGCATATGCTCGTTCCCTCTTTTTGAAAGCACCCCCTATCTGAGGACTGCCAACATTTCCGAACCCCCCTTTCGTGGGCTTTTTTCGGGCTTTTCCTGCCTTGGAGACCCCCCTAAATTCGGAATAATTTCTCAGGAGTCCAAAGAGATGAGAGAAAAAAAGAAAAAACACCCCCTTTTTAAAGAAATCTCCGGGTGAAAAGTCAAATACACCCCTTTTTTTACAATTCTCGGGCCGGACTTTGTCGCACGAAAAGTACCCCTTTACCGGACATTTTGGCAACCCGCATGCGCTCATTCCGACCCCGGAGTGGGGGGGGGGGGGGGCGGGGCTTATATATATATACGGTACTATACAGTGCGTCCCAGAAAAAACGAAACCGAGAATTATTGATGTTTTATCATAACTTAATCACATTTATAATTGATAAATGACACATATTTGGAAAGCTTAGATCCTCCTCTTTCATTTGATGCAACTCATATAATACATATTTCACGCATGAGTGATCAAATGAATTTGAAGAGAGGAAACCAAAGAGTCATTTGGCGGACGGTATCTGACTTTCAAGGAGGAAATCACATTTCTAGAAAGTTGACTTTTTGCCCTTTCATATGACACCTCAATCAGGAAAAATGAGCATTTATCAAACGAATTCGTTTTCACTGGGTGCCTGCCGTAGCAAACAGAGTTGACAAAAGACTTAACTCCATTTCGTTGACAATCAGCCGTAGACGGAAGACTTCATGCATGGCTGATTGTCAACGAAACGGAGTTAAGTCCGTTGTTAATTCATGTTGTTATGGCAGTGAAAACGTTTGATAAAATTATTGAAATGCAAGCACTACTTTAAACAAACAGAACTTTGTCATTCCTTGCTCATTTCTCCTGATTGAGGTGTCATATGAAAGGGCAGAACCTCAAATTTCTAGAAATGTGATTTTCTCTTTGAATTTCAGATACCGTCCGCCAAATGACTTTTTGGTTTCCTCTCTTCAAATTCATTTTAATCACCCATGCGTGAAGTATGCATCAAATGAAAGAGGAGGATCTAAGCTTTCCAAAAATGTGTCATTTAGTAATTATAAATGTGACTAAATTATGATAAAACATCGATAATTCTCGGTTTCGTTTTTTCTGGGACGCACTGAATAACCTGCCTGCAGTGAATACACGATATCTGGCTTGCCATATAGCCATAGCCCTGAATCGCGAACCGAACTGAACTCGGTCTTTTTTCGATATCCCCTTTCCCCAGTTCTCAGCAATCTGTAGAGGTATGATTTACCTATTTTTTAAACTTCAATGAACCTTCTCTTTAAAGATAATTTCTCGTAAATATAGAAAATAAATTCTCACAGAATCCAACGAAACTTACACTGAGTGTTCAAGATTACAATTAAATGACACACTATGTGCCAAACGTTTTTGGTAGAAAATGTATAGTGGCTGAGTAATGAGCATTGAAAGATAAGAAAATCCGGGTAAGTAGGCCCGGCACCATTTGCTTAACACAGGTCACTATGTGCAAATGGGAGTTGTAGTTTTTATCGAAGATGATGCCCAGTAAGTTTTTGTGCGTTTGTTTTTATTTCACTGATTTAAACAGCCAATCTACTGCAGGATAAACAAATCAGAATAAATAATAGCAATTTTCTCTCAAAATACGATTCCCGGCCATACCAGAGCTCAAGATTAGCTTTAATTGATGTGTCGTGACTTGATCTAAGAAGAACTTTACATTTGTAAATATTATTGTCTTGTCTTTATTGTGTGGCTTGAAGTCTGACATTGAAGTCTGAAAAACGACATTACTTTGTAAACAGTCTTACATATTATTTCTATGGGTACTGTGCAATATTTGAACCACTACCTATTATTCACCTTGTGAGATAATTTGTCCCAACTGTCGGTTGCAACAGGTGTGTCAACGAGACAAGGTAGGAAAGAAATTTGTTTCTATTTCTTTAAATATTAGGTGAACAATTCTCTAAATATGTGTCACGTTCTGGAACCGAACTGAAAGGATGTAGCATGTTTTGTAACGTAACAGGCTAGAAACAGGCCAGAAGTGTTAACTTCAATTGTTGTATATTCAAATTGATCTTTTTGACTAAGTGTGCGGTCTACTCAAAAGAATAGTTCATTCATAATGCAAAAGTAGTCAATTTTGATAAAAAGTGGAAGTAGCATTTTTGGTAGTTATTTTTTTTAATGTAATTTTAGCTGAAGAATAAAAAGAGACGTACGTTTCACGAGGGCCTGGGTTGAGCTCTACATCACCAGATTTCAAGAGGAGCAGTTCGGAGAGAGGAGGGATCTGTCCAGAGATCAAATCTGTCTTTGACGTCAAGGACGGTCCATGATAAGATGATGCGGATTCTCCCATCTATTTCTCCAAAAATAAAGAGAGAAAAGACAGTGAAATAATATATGATTTAGCACATTTCACTTCACCAGCACATTATCTAATGAGGAAATGTTTGTTATTTGTTGTTAACCTAATCATGAGAACATATTTATTTGTTTGTGTTATAGTCTTCCATTTCACATCACTAATCAACCCACTGACTACTGATATTTTTCTTTGCCATAGGCTTTAAAATAGGGGCCATCTGGATCAAGTAAAAAAAAAAGGGGGGGGGGTAATGTGAAGGGATGATTAAAATTGTACGTGTACCCACCTCTCCATATCTGTCACTGACGCAGTATTTTCTTGAGACGATTGGAACCACCGGACTGCATCTGACTGCCGTGCGAATACTGGGTTCAGTCTGTGACTTCTTGAAGCTCCCCGGTGATGTCTGATGCTCCTTGAGGAGTTCATCACCAGTTGCTTCCTTGGTGATAGTATCCGGTTGAGGATGCTGCTCTTTGCCCACGAAATGAGGTAGTTTGCCACTCTCTTCAGAAAAGGGCTCATTTCGTCTGTCAGGTTCATGCCAACAAAGGTCAATTGGAGGAAGATCTATACTTGCAGACACAGTTGGTTTTAGGAGCTCCACCATGAAATCATCACATGGTGCAAATGGTTGGCATACTGTTGTTCCTGAACCAGGTAGGGATAGCTCCTTCACATAGGCATCTGATGGGGTTTCATGGTCTTTGATGTACGGAGTCTGTATGATGAGATCAGCATTCAAATCATCAGTTGGAGTCTGAAGGTCTTTTGTGGACGAATAGGAGGATGTGAGTAGTTCCCTCAAGGCAGCGTCTGACAGACTATGACGCGGTGAAATTGAAAAATCAGACACATGCTGTTCTTCCGAATCACCAACTTGTGTAACGAGCTCTATGCTTTCACCATCTGACGTACGTACTGTTTTGACATAATCACAAGCTTGTGCAAGCTCCTCTTCAATGTAGTCATCGTCTGGCTTTATTAGCTGTTTAATGTTGGTCTCATTTGGACTTAGTAGATTATTGATTTTTGAATCATTTGATGTGATTAGATCCCTGACATTAGAATATTCTGATGTGAATAGATCTATGATGCTAGAATCATTTGGTGTAATGAGATCTTTGATACTGGAAACATTTAACGAAGTTAACTCTGTGGTGCCAGAATCATTTAGGGTATCAAGTGGTTTAGTGCCTGCATTATTCGATACGATTATATCTTTTATACTGCAATATGTTGGTGTAATTGGATCCCTGATACATGTACTATAATCATTTGTCGTGAGTAGATCTTGGATTCTTGAATCATCGTTTGCCTTAACTAGATCTTGAATTCTAGAATCGTCATTTGCCTTGACCAGATTATTAATTCTGAAATCATTTGTCGTAACTAGCTCTTTGATACCGGAATCGTTTGGTGTGATTACATCTTTCATAGTCGAATCATTCAACCTGTTTGGACTTTTGATGCTATAGTCATTTGAGGTAATGAGTCCTTTGATGCTACAACCGGAAGGAGTGAGTATATCCTTGATATGAGAATCACTTGCCGTTAATAATTCTTGTATGCACTGATCACATGAAGTTAGTAAAACCTTGATATCTGATGAGTTTCCCGACGACCGAATGTTTGAAGTTTTATGAGGACATCCCTTGTGATCAAGGCCATCTTTTCTGCTTTTGTCATCTTCGGACTCCTCTCCACAATCACCCATTTTTGCTTCAAGTCTCTCGCAAAGAACCTTCAGTCTCTGAATCCTTTGCAATCTTTCTCTTCTTGGTGTCAGCAATTGTTTAACACATGTATTTGAAGGGGTGAGTATCTCCCTGATATGAGAATCACTTGCCGTTAATAATTCCTGTATGCACTGATCACATGAAGTTAGTAAATCCTTGATATCTGATGAGTTTCCTGATGACCGAATGTTCACAGTTTTATGAGGACATCCCTTGGAATCAGGGCCATCTTTTCTGCTTTTGTTATCTTCAGACCCCTCTCCAGAATCACCTATTTTCGCTTCAAGTCTCTCGCAAAGAACCTTCAGTCTTCGAATCCTTTCTTTAAGCAATCGTTCTCTCCTCTCCTTAACCTCATACTCCCTAATCCAATGAACAAATGTTCCGATTCGGACCCTCCACTCACTTAGTGATACAGGCATCTTGGCAAATCAATTGACTCAGTCACACGAACAAGTTACGATCTGGAAGAAAATAACGATAGGTAGGCCTACACTAAGTAATGAAACATAGCATTTGTAATGTCCACACTTATACAGAAACACATTTATGGACAATTTTCAGCTGAAAAGCGCAGCTTAACAACAAGAAAAAGATATAGTCAATCTGAATAGACCACATTGTTTTATTTTCGAACCTACCTGGTAAGATTTGTTTCGCATGAGTAATGACTGGATTACAAAATTATAGCAGCAGTAGTAGTATGAGAAGGAGTTAAAGTAGAAGTAATAGTAGGAGTAACTAGTTAGTAGTTGTAGTAGTCGTAGTAGTAGTAGTTATTTTTCCGTGCTCACATTGCTGTTTGGATGGTTGATATTGAAGGCTGCCCAAGCCCCCTGGAGGGCATTTATCCCAATTGAACAACTTTAGATCTCCCTTTCCTGCAGGTAATTCCTACAAATTCTAGATGGAATCCAGTCATGGGCTTTCAAGAAGAAGTAGAAAACGTGCAATTAATGGCAATGAGGAACTTTGGGAGGGGTACGTTACTGCAGTATGCATACCCCATTTGAACAACCTTAGATCTCTCTTGCCTAAGGATGATTCCTACCAAGTTTGGTGAAAATCTAGCCATGCTGGGTTTTTTTTTAACAAGGTAAAAATGTCAATCAGAGGTTTTTTTTTCTTACTATGGAGGGTGGGGGAGGGGTGCTACTCCCCGTAGGGGGCTCGCAAGAAGGGACCTAACTCCCACCCCCTTAGCACCGGGGACATAGCCTTTATACAAACAGTAGGACAATTTAAGGGTGCTGCTCCCAAGTACCGTGCAGGGACAGGACAGGTACATGTATGATGTTAGGTCTTCTTCACATAAAAATGATTCCTACAATGTGGCCAGAATCCATACCAACATTTTTGTACAAAATCATATCTACACTTCATGATCTATCAGAATATGATTTAATAAATGACGGTAACCAAGCATTTTGAAGAGATAAATAATGTATTCAAATGGAACATTTTCTACTATGTTTTGACAGTTTTCAAGATTCACGCGTGCACATATTTTAAAGCTTGCCGAGCTCGCACTGATGTTTGCATGGGGCATATACCCCATTTGAAGTACTTTAGATGCAGGTAATTTTTACAAATTTTTGATGGAATCCAGCCATGGGCTTTCAAGAAGAAGTAGAAAACGTGCAATGAGGAACTTTGTGGAGGGGTGTGCTGCCCTTGAAGGTGCATACCCTTGTTGAAGAACACATTTATTTTCAAAATTGACCTCCATGACTTTTGACATTAGACCCTATACTTACCCCTAAAATATAATTAGGTTGCCTTTACATGGTGATACAAACTATAATCATGTTTAGTATAGTATAGTATTTATTTTACGTTTTAAAAACAAACATGTAATATAAGTATATACAGGCACGACACTGCTGGTCTTCCATGGGGTCCAGAAATCATATACCTAAATAAATTGAAGATCATACCTCAAGTGGCTCATGCGATATCGTTATAACAAATATTAACCTGTAATTACAGAGATATATTACCAGAGATATATTACCAGATTGTTTTTCTATCATAAGACAAACAGTCACCAAGTTTGAAATTTATACCTCAAGTGATGCTTGAGATATCGGGATAAAAATAATAATATCCAGTTCTTGTACAGCGCTTATCACATTATATAACGTCCTTATGCACTTCCAAAGAGTTTTGCAAAACATTTCAATAGCTTTAGCTCTGACAGCCGGTATCAGCGTACAGTGCATTTCCGGAAGCTCAGGGGTTTTAGGCATTTTATCCGACGGTCAGATGAGCAATTTTTGACACCTCATTTTTTTCTGACAAAGGCAGGTCACTGTTCTCTTTTTAGGAATTTGCCATTTTCCAACAAACGCATAAAAAGTATAATTTACTAAAGATTGAGGAAAAATCTGTATTTTTGGGGCGGGGGAGGGGGAGGCAAAGGCCTTTTGGCCCCCGAGCTACTGATATCCCTCTTCTTTTCTTTTCTTCTTCCTCTTTATTCCTTCCCTTTATCTCCTCTTTTCCCCTTTTTCCCCTTTCCTTCCTTCTCTCTTATTTTTTGATGGGGTGGGGGTGTAACAGCTGGGAGGCAAGGCCCTTTCGCCCCCCCCCCCCGTTCTCCTTCTTTTTCCCCTTTTTCTTTCTTCTTCCTCTTCTTTCTTTCTTTCTCTTTCTCTCCTCTTTCCCTTTCCCTCCTTTTCCTTCTCTCTCTCTCTCTCTCTCTCTCTCTCTTTTTGCGGATCCAGGGGGGGGGGGGGGCAAAGTCCGCTCGCCCCACTGGATTCGCGCCTGACAGGAGGCATTGTTTGCACACCAAATACGATATAGATGTAACATGTATGGTATATAATTGATTTGTAACCCCTTGCGTCGCATAGACAATTTGCATAACGGCTCCGTTCAAAGTTCACCTGCAAGCGACACATCTTTGCTCATATACATACCACTGAAGAGGCGGGGTATCGATCTGCCACATGATGCATCGTTACCGGGCTTTTTATAATTAATTGTTAATTCTTCTTCTTCTTCTTCTTCTTCTAATTTTCATATTTATTACTTTTACTATCATCATTATATCATCAGGCTATTGTTATTATTCGTCATCATTATCATCTGTTGCCCACAAGTTGAAACAATAACCCCTTTTTCATAAAATGATTGTTTTTTTTTTTGTTTTTTTTTTATATTAGTATGTTATGACAAGTGTTATCTTAAAATTGTACATGTATTTGTATTGTGCACGGACCTACGTAAGAACAGCCTTTGGCTGAAGCGGGTGCCGTGCCAAAATACATTGAACTGAACTGAACTGAAGACTTATTCTTGATGATATAGATAGGCCTATAATAAAGAATTTCTGCTCCAAACTTTATCAATCTCTATGACTCAAATCTGGTGGCTGATGTGGGCTGGGGATTAAAGATAAGGTTGAGTTATGGTAAAGATAGAACATAAATTCTCACAGAATCCAAAAAAACTTACACTGAATGTTCAAGATTACATATAAATGACATATTATGCCAAACGATTTTGGCAGAAAATGTATAGGGGCCAAACCTACATATTATATATATTTTTCTAAATGCTTTGTTATTATTTTCGGGTATTTTTCAACCCTTATTCATTTAGCAGAAAGTAAATTAAGATGAATATACATTTTCACTTCATTGGAAAAGGCTTTTTCTTTGATCAGACACAAACACAATTAGCACTTAGAGACTTCGGTGGTAAGTGCTTTTTAAGCACCGTTTTTTTAATTTTTTTATTATATAACGTACGTTAAAATTGTATCTGAAATGGGCAGATCCATAATCAGATATTCAGCCCCGCCCCCCCCCCTCCCCCATTCCATAACAGAGACAAAAAAACTCGAGCATAAAATAACAATAAAGCAACACATAAAGAGACTTTGCTGTACATACAATCTTTATAACAATCCAATATCGAAAAATCGAACAAACATTACAGAGAATCCTTTATTCCCCCAGCGCGCAGCTACATTACTTATTGGTATTGGCATATATACTGGTTGATATACTCACCTTATATTCTGACGTACGTGAACATTGCTATACCAAAATCAAACGTAGAAGTGAAGTACATTTTGTTTATCATTGACCTATTTGGTTGAATACATGCAATACGAAACACTCATCGTCAACGCCAATGTCAAATGTTGGCATGTATCAAATGAAATGGTACATAATTATGTATAAACTGGTACATGTATTATAATGCCAATTGGCTGTAAAATACAAGACCGCTAAATTCACGTCAACGTGGTATTCCCCGCGTATAATGTCACGCCCTTACAAACTTGACTCTATATCTGGTGTGTTTGCGTGCACACCAAACGCGATATGAGTAATCTCTATGGTATATTACTATTATTAATTTGTACCCCCCGCGTCGCAAAGCCAATTTTCATAACGGCTCAGAGGCAGTGGGAGATCGATGCCAAGTCGCTACTGTGGGATTTCTATTATTATTATTAATTTGATTCATCATTATTATTAATATGATTATTATCATTGCTCTTATGATTATAATCGTATATTATAATCATTCTTTTTATTATGATGAGAATGAGTGGGCTAGTGTATACGCGTGTGTCTGTGTGTATATGGTTGTGAATGATATGGATAGACGGGAGAGAAATATATATGCTAGTGTGCATGACCGGACTGTGGGGGTGAACGTGCTATTTATTTAGTAACTGGTAGAGATGCAGTAGGAAAGAAGGGTGTGCAGGGGCAGATCTAGCTTTTTGCCAAAGGGGGGGGGGGGGGGGGGGGGGGGTAACCAAATTTGTTTCCAAAAAATTGTGCCGTTTTACTGTTTTACTTCTTACTTTTTTCTCACTTGGCCGCCCAATGGGGGGATTAAACCGCCGAAACACCACCCTCGACGCTATTCATAAAACGAAAAGGGGTCACCATTCGTAAAGGCATGATGACCGTTATTCATAAGGATCGCTATTCGTAATTGAGATTGAGGGTCATTACTCGTGAGGACCGCTATTTATAATACAAAATCAGGGTCGCTATTCATAAACATGAAGAAAGGGCGCTATTCATAATTTACATTGGGGTTCACTGCTCATAAAGACCGCTATTCAATACGAAATGAGGGTCACTAGTAATCATACGAGAAGAGGGTTTCGTATCGAAAAGCGGTCTTTATGAGTAGTGAACCCCAATATAAATCATGAATAGCGCCCTTTCTTCATGTTTATAAATGAAGAGTTTCATTCCAAAAGGAGCTAAATCCACTTTGGGTACTTCTGAGTAAATCACCTTTTTTTATTTCTCCATTTTCCCTTTAGCCATGGACCTTAGTGTTGTTATATATTTTAAAGGTATCACCCTGGACCAATAATATATGATAAGAAAAAATCTACCAGTTTTCCCTGATTTTTACTAAATTTTTAGAATTTTTGTTTTCGTGGATTTAGCTCCTTTTGGAATGAAACATGATATTGTACCTGGAAAATTTCATATTTTCTCAATTAAGTCACTGAAATGTATTCAAATTTAGTAGCAAACCTTTCCTTTTAAATAATAATAGTGAAATCGCAACTAAAAACACCTTTTGAAAAGAAAGTAAACAACATATCACATTTTCATTCCAAAAGGAGCTAAATCCGTTTCATTCCAAAAGGAGCTAAATCCATGTTCCATTCCAAAAGGAGCTAAATTTACAAAATCTAAAAATTTAGTAAAAATCACAAATAACTGGTAGATTTTTTTTTTCTTATCATATATTATTGGTCCAGGGCGACACCTTTAACATATATAACAACATGAAGGTACATAACTAAAGGGAAAGTGGAGAAATAAAAAAGGTGATTTCCTCAGAATTACCCAAAGTGGATTTAGCTCCTTTTGGAATGAAACCGATTTGGATTTAGCTCCTTTTGGAATGAAACATGATATTGTACCTAATTTTTTTCATACTTCCTGGTGAAATTTTCGAATGTGATATAGTGCATTTTGTCCCCATGTAGGATAACATTATTTTAAGACAAATAACTCCATTTTGATAAAATATGGATTTAGCTCCTTTTGGAATCAAGCTCTTCAAATAGCGACCCCGATTATGCATTATAAATAGCAGTCCTTACGAGTAATTATGTCAATTATGTCAATTCCATAAGAAGAAGATCAGAAGAAGAAGAAGAAGAAGAAGAAGAAGAAGAAGAAGAAGAAGAAGAAGAAGAAGAAGAAGAAGAAGAAGAAAAAGAGGAGGAGGAGGAGGAAGAAGAAGAAGAAGAAGAAGAAGAAGAAGAAGAAGATGATGAACTTTGTATTTTCATTGTGTTCTTGTATGAGTGTTTATTTGCTTTGATTGTTTTTTTGTTTTTTTTGGAAATGAAATAAATAAACGATTGACTAAAGGTGAAGGGGGTTTTCGTGAAAAAAATCCCTCCGTAAGATAGATTTTGTGACAAAATCAATTATCACAATCATCATCACCATCACAATCATCACCATCATCATCATAATTAGCATCATCATCACAACACAATCATCATCATCAAAAGAACCATGGGGTGTTATTTAAGAAAAAAAAGGGGGGAGAGGGAAATAAAACTATCGGTATAATTTTTATATTAATTATGATTCAATTGCTTTGCAAAGCAAAACTTAATTTCAATTCTTTGTTATGACAATAATAATGTTTTTGCGATTATGTAAATTTGATTTGTAGTATTGTATCTTTGAATGTAACCATGTATACATAATCAAGAAATACTCTGAGGCAAAGAGAACAAAACAACAACAAAAACACTTATTATCGCAATCATCACCATCACAATTATTATCAACATCACCATAACAATTGTTATCACCATCACAATCATCACCATCACAATTATCATCATGATCATCATCACCATCACACTATTATCAATCATCATCACCATCACAATCATCATCATCATCATCACCACCATCACAATCATCACCATCCGATCATCACAATTATCATCATCCTCACTACCATCACAAGCCATGTTGATACACCCACTCAATCACTTTCACGCCCCTAAATTCCAACATCCACTTTACTCAACAAAGAAAAAAAAAAGGTCCCAGGCGGGTAAGAAATGACAAACTTGAAGCAGGATTTGGAGTAACGTACAAATGAATTTAAATACCATCTATACAGTAATGCTTTACAAAAGAAATCTTCCAGGTATGCTGCTACGGGCATAAATACACCATTAGAAGCCATGTCTGAGAGAAGGAATAGCATACAGGAAGCTACATACATATTCACACAAGATTTTGAACCGTTCACATATCATCATGTCTTCCTATCTTCCCCCAAATATCACTTCACATATGAATTCAAATCTATGGCAAGCTGCTACCGAAATGCATTCAAATCACAATTCTAATGCTTGCCAGAGGCTTGCCCAACATAGCAACTAATACAGGCAACCTGCAGAGTGAATGTTGACATACAATTACTTGGGGAATGCTATACAAAAATAATAATAATTTGTCATTTATCTGTCAGGTTTATGGAATACAATTGTAAAATGATCTATTCCGAATTTTGTAGCGTGTTTATAATACCACAGATTCTTGCAAAATTGAATGCACTCATTCTGAAGTTATTATTACATTTCTCTCATTTTGTTTAATTTTTTTTTTGACAAAGCTTAGATTCAAATGCTCGTAGTTACTTACATTGTGTGTTAAGCAGGTGTGCTGTTTCTAATGTACAAATAGATTCTATTGGTGGGACCATCATGTTAAAAAGCTATTCATAGTATTGATAATGACATGGAAATTAATGAGCAATAGGTCATTCTCGTAATACAATCAAATTTAATGCAACAATCTATGTTAAGTGCATTGTTACAAATCATTTCATTCACCTGTTACGAATAATTTTATTTCTAAAGTTAGAATACGAATTGCATACATTCTGTGTTGTTAGGTAGGACTAACATTATAGCTAGTCTTACCCAACATTAAATAATGTTTGCAATTCACATTCCGACTATTGAAATACAACTATTCGTAATGGGTGGAATTAATTAATTTGTATCATTTTTCAAAAACTATCATATTGTTTCATTCACATGTACCATATGTTTGACCCTGTGCTTTATACTTTTTCCATAATTTCCAGTGAATTCTATTTAAAATATCAGTATCCAAAATAAAAACTCTGGCTCCTTGGCTCCTTCCCTCCTGCCCCCCCCCCCCCTCCCTCCCCACCCCTTGGGTTGGTATAAACATGCACACAACAGCTATAAAAACAATTGCTTGTGGTATTTTATATCCTGGCCCGGCGTGTATAATTAATTACCTTTGACCTTCCATGTGTTACAGGACCCATGTGAAGAAGAAAATAGATAGCCGCTTTGGATGGTTAGCAGCTTGATATTTATATACGCATAAAACCCAACAAAGTCTTTTCTTTTCCAAAGGAGGGGGGGGGGGGGGTATCAATGGATATGATCTCTCCAGGCATTTTTCTTCTAGCACACTATGTAAATGTATTAAGAGGCAGAAAATGACCGATTAAAAATGTATACACTGTTCTCGCTTCCTCCAACTGCACCCATTTTTATATTCCACTTGATATTTGTGTACATCTCCAATCCAGGGGCCCTCAGCACAAGGCTTAGCAACTAAATGTATAATCAATTGATTGATTGTACAATCGATTGCTAACTTATTGTTGTGTCACTGGGCCCTCATGTGACATTGATCTGCTATAAAAATAAAAAATAAAATTTCATTTTTATGACAAAAAGGCATTATCAGATTTTGCCAACCTTTACATTCAGCTTTCAGGGAGGTTTCTATCGAATGCATACAGCATGATAGGAATAATCTTTCAAAAAATCAGGGAGGCATTACAATTTGTGTGGAGTGACGGATTCAAAATGTTAAGACTTCAGGTAGACTCCCTGAAAATCAGCGAGGGTTTGCATCTCTGCATTATCAGGGCGTGGTAAACATCAAGACTATGGGAACATAATATTCTATGGATTAACACTTCATCAAAAGTATAATTACACTTCCCATACAGTGCTACAAAGCAGAGTCAAGAAACATGAATTTACATGAATGGGACTGTAACTAAATCTTCTGAAAGGCCGAGTCAAGAAACATGAATTTACATAAATGGGACTGTTACTAAATCTTCTGAAAGGCTATATGCTTTCAAGAGTGTAAATACTGAGAGAATTGATTACAATAAAAAAATTGGTTGACCTACAAATATTATCAGCTGACGCTCAATCTCGTGATGTGGTGTACCGCTGCATTTTTTTAACGACATAAACATGTTTCACAATCCTGTGTCTTATAACACACAGATTGTGAGTACAGTTAACAATTAAATTATATCCTTCCCAAGTTTTGATATATTTTTGTATGCGAAAAAATTATTTTTCATTCATGTTTTTTTGAGAATGTGAAATATAAAGGCTTAATAATTATAATAAAAACGGTGCTTATGTCTTTAAGTGCTATACATCTAAAAGTATTCAACAAAGGCCCTCATTCAACCAGTCCGCCTTTCATTCTTGAGTTATGGGGAACACAGTAAACGTCAAATTTCATCAAAATCTAAAGGGGTATGAGTAATTTAGTTGTTAACTGTAAATGAGACCTATATCCTAATATAACAGGTTACAATCAATCTCGACTGATAAAGCACACAGTAGAAATATAAAATATCCCATTAAGGGCAGGGAGGCGCGATGGCTCAGTAGCAGAGCAGAGGTACGGGGTTCAAAACCAAGTCGATGTGCTAGTGCCTTCGGTAAGACAGACAGGCGTTAATCCTCATTACCAAGTCCCTAAAGAGAGAACTTGAAGCCAGCGGCCCCCTGGTTGCTTACTTACAAGCATACACATGCCATCTTAAAGGGGGTGTAATCTGACAAATACAGGGGAATGCATCTACGTCTTCTTTTCAAACAACTGCATGTAAACGAATGGACTTGATTGACTTGGTCGTGTCGTTCGAAGTCGTATTATTCCCGATTGGCTCCGAGTCAGGCCACAGGAAAGACACATAGTCTAGTCAGTCTACACCCCCTTTAACTGTTAATTAAAAGAAAGCCTTAATGAAAGCCTAATCTTGTCATCTAACTTTGATTGTCACTATCTAATAGTTGTATGGCTTACGGTGAAATACACAATATTTAAATGAGAGTTATTGGATACAAATTACAATACTAGTAATGCAGAAATATCTCTCTGAATAATGTACAAGTTCCTTCAAAGTTTACATGAATTTGTCTAACAATGTGCCAAGACTCTGATAATCTTTAATGCAGTGCTCCACATTCACTTTTTTAAATTAAATTTTGGGAGTCTGGACTTAGATTTTGGGTGCCCATGTGTCCTGGATGTCTGCTGATGCTGAACCCTGTTGACGTAAATTGCGAAGATATCTGTGGGGAGTGTGGTTTGGAATAGTCAATCATTTTTGTGACTTCAAGCCAACTGTGTCCAACTTAATTACACTCCATTATTATTTCTGTTGAAGAGATTCTCAAAAAACAAGCGAGAAGTCATAGTTCCATTGACAACATCACAATTTCTTCAATTAATGCATGATAAAAGATGCAGAACCAGTAAAAAGGGTGACTACCATCATATATTCCTGCTCTTCATAATTTAAAAAAGTCTTGTTTACAAATCTAGATGTTTTGTTTGGGCAGGTTTTGGTGATCACTTCTATGAAATACATTGAGAGTCCAGAATCAGAGTCCGCAATGGGTCTCCTTACACTCATTCTCTCCTCCGTGACCAGGCAAAGAATCTCTCGTTAACGAGGCTTAGCGTCCGTCATCTATCAAATGTGGTAGGCGAAGAATCTCTCGTTAACGAGGCTTGGCGTCATCTATCGCATGTGGTAGACGAAGTTGGATTTGATGTTTGACAGTTCTCCAGAATACTCCACACCGATTTCAAAGTCCAGATCACGCTGTGCGGAGAAAATACAAAATACATAGTTAGGAGAGAGCTATGGAGAAAGTCATGATTTGGAACATGTGTGGTATGAAACTGTCTGATAGAAAGAGGAAGCTCAAAGGAAAGTCGGGTCTGGAAGAAACTGTAGTAGAAGTGGTAGGGAGAGGTAGACTGATTTTTGAATGATTAAGGATGGCCATTGTCATTTCAAGAAACATTTTGCGACATGCAAACATTTAATGTAGTGTCACTTGTGATTCAGTTAATGGCAGCATGAAATCAACATTTCATGAACGCTACAAACTTTACTTTGATTTGAGTGATTTTACAAATTCCGTCACTGGGAAACAAAAGAAAGATATCATTATTATAGTTTCCCTTAATTTTAAAGGTACTATGTCCCATTTGCAGGCCAAAAAAATGAAAAAGTTAAATTCCAACTGCATTTGAAAGATAATACTAATTTAGAACTTCCCTAAAAAAGGTGGGGCTTGAAAATGTCTTCAAGTGGGAAAATAACAACTATTAGTTGTCAAATCGACTTAAGGGCTATAGAGCCTAAAAGAAATAGTCTTGATTTTCAGACAATTGTACCGAATGGTCATACGTTTTATGCTGCGCAAAGATGCAATCAGATTAATCTTGGCCATTACAAGAAGTGGGTTTTTGATGTAGACAAATGCTCATGTACCCTTTACTACTCTTTTCATGTATGTTATTACCAAAGAAGAAAAAAGCCAGTCAGTCACTCAATAGTGTCTGACAGTGAAGTCTAGCAAGTAAATGGGTTTCCTTGCATAATTGAATATGAGGACACTCCTAACGTTTAAATTTCACAGATAGGACATACATGACATATTCATAATTCCTGCAAAGTTCTACAGCATTTGAGGTTGGCTGCAAAAGGGACATAGTACCTTTAAAGACCGTCAATACTACTGGGCCAGAAGGGATTAGACCACACAGCGAGGTCACTGACAGGTGGCTATCTCATTAACTCAGCTCTCAACTAACATAAGAAAAAGAGGATCATGGGGGACCAACAGGCACCGATTGGGGAAGTTTTCTATATAGAGGGAGCAAGTAGCTACAAGTAGGACAGTGGGGCTTTAAGAACAGCTGGGAAACCTAAAGCCCCGTTCATACATGCTACAGTAATCAGCATGTTTTTCCTATTTTGGTCAAAGACATACAGCATTATATGATTCACATTTCAGTATCATATTACATGCAGTTCAATTAAGACTCGTATGCACCTGCAGTTGCCATTCATTCACATCTTTAAGAACCATGTGTTTTTTTATGACAGGGTTTTTTGCGGCGGTGGTTTACCACAGCGTATCTGAACGTGCCTTATCAGGGAATGAGAGTGAATTACTTACGTTGTTCTTTTCGTTGGGTTTCATCTTAAATGTTCCGTAGAGCTCTTCTCCTCTCTTAGCTGTGATGTAGTCATCCAAGTAGAACACAGTCTGTTTCCAGTGTGTGTAGTGTGAGTCAGGGGCTGCCAAACAGATGAAACAAAGATTAGAATAACATATTATATACCTCACTTAAGAAATCCAGCCATCTGATTGGTCGATATTGCAGTTGTGATTTTAGCCATTCCCGTAAAGAAAAAAAATGCTAAAACCTTTTAATAGTCCAAGAGTAAAATCCCGGCCAAATTCCAGTTACCAGGAAAATAATGAAATCTTGCATCGATACCCATTGGTTTACGTGTTAAAATGTTCTTTGAGCGAGTGCGGACATCATACAGTGCTTTTGTCTGCGATTCCCAGCTGATCCAAAATTTCAGCAATTTTTCGGGCGGTGAGAAACAGACAGTTTATGAGATTTTCCGTGATATTTTAACTAATCTTTACTCGATAAAAGGATAGGGTAAGAATTCTTGGTAGATTTTTGTTTGAATTTGGCATATAAAAGGGATATCGACTGCTTTAATACTCGGGGTGATAGCAGCGGAGCCAAATTTCCCTTGAGCGTATAAAAACGGCCAGTCCTCTCGCACCAGTCGATATCTCTATAATATTGATTTACTTTGAGAAGGGTGTGAGATTATATCGCCTGACTGTAATCTAACAGATTCAAATGAGGAGTGTTATGGTCATACCGAAGGCAAAATAGTACAGTGGAGTCTTGTTATAACGAGGTCCTTAGAACCAAGGAAATTACCTTGTTATATCAGAAATCTTGTTACATCACAGTTAAAGAGAGCTGGGAACCGCAAAATCACCTTGTTATAACAGATACCTCTTTCTATCAGAGCTCCTTGTAATGAAGTTCCATTGTATCATACCAACCCAATTAATAAGCCAGTAAATGCAAATATTAGTTATTCACCTTTTATTATTGTAAACATCACTTACATATTGCAGCAGTACCCAGGTGTGGAAAAAGCATCCTCGTCTTTGAGTGATGAATAATCATCAAGATTGATAATAATATTCCGTCTTACTCTTTATATAGTGCTTAATACATGGACAAGTGTCTACGCGCTTTACAGATATATCATTACCCGGTCATCGGATTCGAGCTCGCCCGCACACGATGTGTGCACATTCTCCACTCCTTGGGGAGTATCCAAGCCATATTTTCTTTGTCAACATGACAACAGTAAACTTTCCTGATGTCGACACACTGTTGACATGAACCATACCAATACAACTTTTGAGTTTGAACTTTGAATGACTTTCCAATGTATCATTTAATACACAAATTATCTGTCTTGAAAAAAAGGGTACTCATGCCTTCCCCCCTCCCCCCTCCCCTTCCCTGCCCCCTTCTCCTACAAAGCCTTGGTGAACTTACAGGTTGAGAAGCCAGTCCGCTTGTGACACATTGTGAAGTCAATGTTGAAGTATGTGACTAAGGCCTGGATGTAGTCGTTTCTGTTGACCATCAGCTGGAAGGGAGCTTGAAACGTCAGATCTTCAACCTTCACGGTATACATGCTGATCTCCTGTTATGGATGAATGACGTAAGATTGGAATATTTAAATGAAAATAACAAGAATGAAAACAGAAAGGAGGGGGGAGTATGAGAGAGGAGGAAGGATGAGGGAGGAGGAGGTACTGGAAGGAGAGAAGAAGGAGAAGGAAGGGGAAAAAGGAAGAGGAGGAACCATCAGCTGGAACGGAGCCTAGGACTTCAAATATTCAACCTTTACGGTATACATGCTGATCTCCTGTTATGCCAAGCAATGCAAGTTAATCAAAATAACAAGAAGATAAAATAACAAGAATAACAAGTTAATCAAAATAACAAGAATGAAAAGAAAGAAGATAAGGAGGAGGAGGAGAAGGAGGAAAAGGTGGAGGGGGAGGAAGAGGAGGGGGAGGACAAAGAGGGGGAGGAAGAGGAGGGGGAGGAGAAAGAAGAGAGAATGAGAAGGAGAAAGAAGAGAGAAGGAGCAAGAAGAGCAGGAGAAAGAGAAGGGTGAGGAGAATAAGGTGATAGCAAAGAAGAAAATGATTAATTTGGGAGAGGTGGAGTAGGAGATGCAAAAGGATGAGAGTAGAGAAGAAGGAGAAGGAGGAGATGGAGAGAGGAGATGGAGGAGAGGAGATGGAGGAAAGAAGAGGGAGGGGGGAGGATAAAGAAGCGAGAACGGAAGAGGAGCAAGAGGAGAAGGAGGTGGCATAGAAGAAGAATTGAGAGATGCAAAAGAAGCTTACCTTTATGAGACAAGAGTTTGTGACGAGCTGTTTATGATCCACGACATCCACCAGAGGTTCTGAGATAGCTATGTCACGGATACAGCTCATATCAAATCCATATACGTTATCCCACCCTACACAAAGACAAAGACAACAGTGAAAAGATTAAAGATATTTGAACTAAATATTGCTTTCCCAATCAAAAATACTGTGCGAGTTCTGGGACTCGTTTCACAAAGCCTTTTTGCAGTGACAAATGACAAAAATCAGTGATAAATATGCTGATACCCAATCAGAAGCAAGGATTTCTGTAGCTTATAACAAAGTAAGGCTGTGCACAACAGTGTAATGAGGTACCTGAGTATACTCCCAGGCTCACAAGGGAATACTCGAATATTCGGACGCCATGTTTTTTTTATTATTTTTTTGAATTTTTTTGATTTTTTTTGAATTTTTTTGATTTTTTGATTTTTTTGATTTTTTTTTTGATTTTTTTGCCACTACCATACCACTCGGCAGTTTCTCAGGTCCCTCAGGTCCCTCGCTGAAAACGCATGCGATTTTACTTTGAGTTGCAGTTGAAGGCGCCGATTTAATAAGAATAATAACAGTAAACAATGCTGTTTTAAAAACCAAAGATGGCAGAATAATCCATTTTCCTCCAAGTCCAAACAGAAATCTGGACATTTGGTCCCAGTTTCTGAAAGGTGAGTTTGACAGTGCTGGAGTTGGGAAACATTTTTACCGACGGTACCATGCCAGCGGCCGTCGCTCTCCCTGGCACGGGTAAGCTAGGGCCGAATATTCGGGTACGAGAAATCGTACCCAAGTAGTTGTCAACCGTGCGGGTACTCGAGTATTCGACTACCCGTCGCAGCCTTATAACAAAGACTGTCATTTGTCACTGATGACAAGTTTTGTGAAATGAATCCCAGGTGATAGTCTTTCATGGAATTATTGCATCGATTGTTTCCTACTTACCAAGAAGATGATGCCTAATTCTGTACAGAATACCAAATGCATCTTGATATTATACCAATTACATGATCTACATGTGCATCCCACTTCAGATTACGTTCAATATAAATACCAAGGAAATTAACATCATTACATTAGTCAGGGGAGTAGAATTTATATTATACAAATAATGAATGGTTATGAGTTCAATAGTGGGAATATTTTCATGAGTTGAATAGAATTAACGTTAATCTTTCAACAAATGAAAATATTCGCACCATTGAACGAATGAAAAACATTAATTATTTGTTTTAT